AGTGGTTTATTCGTCCAAGACATAGGTACATATAGGTACACTAGCTTTTAGATTTTTTTTACTGCTCCGCCCCTATTGGCTGTAGGGTGATGTTATGACTGTATAGCCTACAGTCTTCCTCGATAAATTGGATATATTTTTCAAATGGGACCAGCAGTTCCTGAAAGTAGCGCGTTGAAGCAAACAAACAAATTGTTCAGCTTTATAATATTAGTATAGATAGAAAACACCAATACAAACTGTTGTAAAAATCATGATATTTGTACACAGGGGGCTTGACATGAGCACGGGCACATGCGCGCTTTTCACGTACATTGTGTACGCGACGCTGCCCCTACGCCTCCATGAGGCCTCCCTCGGTGGATTTGCCCTAGCCGCCATCAATATTGGAGCCCGTATCTTCATGGGAAGGATCTCTGCCCTTGAGGTAAATATTATGTAGAAAATTCTCCCTTGATTTTGCCTGAAAAATAGCTTTGCTTATGCACGGTTGAATGTAGTTTTTTTTTAAATTTAAAGCGTTTATTTATTTTTTGAAACGTTTTCTTTTCTAGCGCTACAATCGATTTGTGCGTGGGTTGTATGTAAGCTAACACTAATTGAAGTGGCGATAGTGTAACTAGTAGGCACAGTCAGCTTCAAAATTTGAAGCTGACTATTTAATAGTTCATGACACCCAAAGTGTCCAAAAAGTTTATAAATACAACCTTATTGCTATTGAAACAAAAACGTGTTGCAAACTTTTTAGCTACTTTGGATGTCACGAACTACACTCGGCATCAAATAAATCGCACCTCCCGCGACAAGCACTTATCAAACGTATGCATCCCCACTTCCCACCAACATCGGTACCATTTGAAAGCCTAGTTCTAAACTTCATTTCATTAAAGGAAAGGTTTTTACCCCAAAAATGTGTCTTTACAAGGATCCAAAGTCACTTCTTCAAAAAATAGGTAGTTACGATATAGCCATTTTTTATGACTATAATACTGTTAAGTTTGGATTAATCGCTATCCATCTGTTAAAGAGGACACGTGAGATCTTTATTTGGTTTTATAACCATAAAAATTGGTCTAACTGATCCCAGAGGTGAGCCCAAAGTGAGGTCTCTTTTCAAGTCACATTTATGGTATATGTTAATCATTTATTTAGAAATGAAATGTATTTTTCTTTAAGGATATTTATTGGGCTTTCAAATAACACCAATATTGTTGGGGTACCATGATTTTGTCAGAAGAAAATCTTTAAAGTTCGCGTCGCGGAAGGTGCGGTTTATTTGATGTAGAGTGTATTTTTATTTTTAAAGATTATTAGAAATTCGTTTTGCCCAAATTGCTAATTAGTCCCATTAGCCCCTCGTATTAAGCTAAATAAGCTTGCAATAAGCTTGGCTCACCACAATACCACACAATACCTAGTGGAGCGGCGGTGGGATTCAAACCCGATTATTTGACACTGACTGTACATGAAAGCAGAAGGATATACCTAACAAGTGTGAGTTTATGAGGATGGATGGATGAACAAAATATTTAATAGGAACATGTTACAGACATAATATTATTATGTCTGCTTTTTAAACTTGGTAGGTAGATGTATTCGGTGAACCGCATTAAGATTTTGATGCAAAAATAAAAAAATAATAATTAATATTGGGGGCTCCCCATACTTAGAACTGAAACTCAAAAAAATTTTTTTCATCAAACACATACGTACAACATCTATGGATAGGTCTTCAAAAATGATATCGAAGTTTCTTTTTTCTAAACCGAATAGCAGACGCTTCCAAAGTGGAAAAAAGTTGGTCACCCCCCCCCCCCCAACTTCTAAAATAAGAAAATGAAAAATCGAAAAAAAAAATATGATGCACATTACTATAAAAACTACCAACGAAAATTGTTTTGAACGAGATCTAGTTAGTAGTTTTTTTTAATAGGTACCTACCTCGTAAATCGTGAGCCGCTTATTCATACTAATAACTTAAATAAAAAATAATAATTTTAATTTCATAAATNATGATGCACATTACTATAAAAACTACCAACGAAAATTGTTTTGAACGAGATCTAGTTAGTAGTTTTTTTTAATAGGTACCTACCTCGTAAATCGTGAGCCGCTTATTCATACTAATAACTTAAATAAAAAATAATAATTTTAATTTCATAAATCAATGGTACGGAACCCTTTGTGCGTGAGTCCGACACGCACTTGGCCGGTTTTTTTCTTTAATAGTAGACAATGGTTTGCTCTTATAGAAAATTGAGAGGCTTCCGGCGACTGGGACCGCAATTAACTAGAACCGCGGTCCCAGTCGCCGGATCGATAAAAAAAAAATTTTTCTTCCGGCGGCTGGGACCACTCATAGATAACTTAAAAGAAAATATTATTCAATCTAAAATTGGTACAGTACTAAAATCCATGAGTGGTCCCAGTCGCCGGAAGAAAATTATTTAATTTTTACGCATCCGGCGACTGGGACCGCGGTCCCAGTTAATAGCGGTCCCAGTTGACGGAATCCTCAAATTGATACCTTCATTGGTTGGGTTTTCAACTAACGAACTATAGTTGGCCACTGTAGTTGAAACAGGCTTAGTGGTTAGAAAACTTGTAAAAATAGTGTAGTTACTTATGTTGCTTTTTATCAAAATATTTATTAAGGCATGCACCGCTGTTTGCGAGACAAACTTACAGGCCAGTTTTTAGCCGCACTTGTTTAGTATTACATTTGCGGTTTATCCGCTGGCCAATATCATAACAAGTTATTATTACCTGTTCAGCCACTAAGTTGAAGCATAACTGTGGCTAGGCACAACCTTGTGACAATTATTTAATATTATTTATTATTTGTCAAATAAGTTATTCAATAAAGAATTTATTTATTTATTTATTTTATTTATTTATTTATTTATTTATGTTGTAATCTAATTCAGTTTCCTATACGATCTTAATGAGTGTCAACATGCATCACGATACTACATAATTTCATACATAATTTCATGAAGATGCACAATCCTTTCTTGATGATTGATGATGGATGACAGTGATGACACACATGGGAGTACATGTAAATACACGAAAATTATAATCAAGCTTCTAAGAACAAGGGACTCGTCTAAAAAATTTGCTTTTATCCTGGATCACAGGGGCTGGCCTACAAACGAAGTACTCACAATACATGTACCCTGCCTAAAAATCTGCTTTTAAGTACGCCCATGTTAACACGAGCAGGGATTGCATACTTCTCTTCGCTGATCAACGGCAAGGCATTTTGAAAGCCGGCGGCAAACCCGGCGGCGTATGTGGATGCGCCATTATGGATGAAACTGGTCCTCCGGTGGGCTAAAAATAGGGCTTATGTTGACAAAAGTTAGGATTGCACATTGTGGTTTTCTCGTCCCTAATCAAATGTTATTTGGCAGCTCATCTCCGTAATCAGTACCCTGGTGGCCTGCAACCTGGCAGGCATCATGACCCACCACCCCCGCGAGCTGGCCCAGCGCCGGGCCTTCCTCGAGACCCGGGACTGTGTTGAGGCCCGCCTGGTCACGCAGAGGGAGAACCAGCAACAGGTGTGTAATATTAAATTTATTTTAGGTTCCCCTACTTGGTTTTAGGGTAAAAAGAAGAGTGTGAAGAGGAAAAAAACAAGAGACAATCGAAAAGAACAAACTCCGTCTATGGACTTGCTGATACAGTATGCGCAAACCTCGCAACACATAACTCGCACACATACCTCGCTTCTTTTGTATGCGCAAAAATCTAGCTCCGCTAAGCCGTTTTCACCAAAGCTGTGCTGACTCAGGGAAGGTAAATAAAGCAAATCTATTGGTTGTTTACAAACACATCCCTCGCTACGCATCCTCGCACATCTCTGGTGGAAACGCAGCTTAAAAACCGTTAATGATCTGTCGCGTCACATGACACGACATATTGATGACGTGGAATGGCGGAATTGTGCCGATGAATGAATGTGATCATTAGAGTACGAATGTCACGATCATGTACAACAGGAGTCATTATCAGTGGATTTGGTGTAAAGCGCTTTACACACATTGAAGCTACTGACCCGCTCACACGATTCGTTTAGATTTTAGAAAAAAGGCGTAAATTTTGTTACCTTGAATTGAAGAGGCAATCTCTGCATCTACTTTTCAAACCAATTTATCTATGATTAAGATGAATAAATACGTTGTATTTGTACATTTTTTTGTGATAGAAAGAAATCTACGCTGACGATAGTTTGTTACCGACATATCGTCGGCTTCCACATTATGTAAAGCGCCAAATTAACTTATAATCGATTCTTTCAATTTGTTTCAACAGATACAGATACCTTTATGAATGCATGCTATTATGTTTGTTGTAGTTTGACACATGACAAGTATTTTTAGGCCTACTACACCTCCATAAAATGTTCTCTTACATCTTGTGGTAATGACATGGCCAAGATTATAGCAAGTTTATAGAGCGGATTAACTAAATGTTACTCTGCTTGTGATAATTTAAATACTTCGCTACATAAAATAAGGTATTTGTTACCCATAATAAATAAGGTTCGAAATCGGTTTGATACAATTTAAAAATACTATTTACTAAGGCTGAGTTGCACCATCTTACTTTAACTTTGACAAACGTCAAAAATCTGTCAAACTCCATACAAAAAAAACCGGTTATCGTTATACACTCGCGAGCAAAACTATGGAATCACTTACATGAAGTTGTTTCCACGCGAACTTGTGTACTAACGAATTTGTTAGTAACAAAAAAAGTGGCACCATTTTAAAGATTAAACTTTTATCTTTAAATTGATACCAAATTCATTTAAATCACACCGGTATTTAAAAAGATATCCCGGCTGATGTGAAGAAGTAACGAAAAAGACATGTATGAACTGTTTGATACGTCGCGAGTTGCGGCCTATTTACCCCCTATAAAAGCACGCGTTTCCGGATTTTTGCTTTCACACGTTGATTCATACACATCTCCGCTTCTTTTGACACTTTACTTGGGATTCTACACCTTCAGAAGCAGCACAAATCGTTGCACTATTGCAAGAAGGGCTCAGCCAGCGGGCTGTCGCACGTCAGCGCCACATAAGCCAGTCCTGGGTTTCGAAAGTTTTAAGACGCTTTCGGGAGACTGGTGGCTTTATCCCGAGACCAAGTTCTGAACAGCGCCGGCGCACATCGCAGAGGGAAGACCGTTTTTTCATGTCAACCTCTCTATGAAATCGTCATTTGACTGGAATCGACGTCCAGTAAGAGCTCAGAAATGTTCGAAGGATAGCTGTTAGCGAGTAGACAGTTTGTCTAAGACATAAGCAATAGAATTTAACTCCAAAAAGGCCTGCCACAGGCTCGAAACTGACGGCAGGTCACCGATAAGCACGCTTTCAATTTGCTCGTACACATCTCGATGTTAAGTCGAGCAAGCCACCCCCATAAGCCACTGTTTCAGCGAACCAGCACTGCACAAATCGCTCCTCAGGCCGCCTATAAACCCGACCTCTTCGACTGCTGCCCTGCAAACACAGTTTGCATTCATCGGAGAACAGAACTCGCCTCCATTACTCGCCTTCCCATCGAGATGTGTACGAGCAAATTGAAAGGGTGCTTATCGGTGACCTGCCGTCAGTTTCGAGCCTGTGGCAGGCCTTTTTGGAGTTAAATTCTATTGCTTATGTCTTAGACAAACTGTCTACTCGCTAACAGTTATCCTACGACCATTTCTGAGCTCTTACTGGACGTCGATTCCAGTCAAATGACGATTTCATAGAGAGGTTGACATGAAAAAACGGTCTTCCCTCTGCGATGTGCGCCGGCGCTGTTCAGAACTTAGTCTCGGGATAAAGCCACCAGTCTCCCGAAAGCGTCTTAAAACTTTCGAAACCCAGGACTGGCTTATGTGGCGCTGACGTGCGACAGCCCGCTGGCTGAGCCCTTCTTGCAATAGTGCAACGATTTGTGCTGCTTCTGAAGGTGTAGAATCCCAAGTAAAGTGTCAAAAGAAGCGGAGATGTGTATGAATCAACGTGTGAAAGCAAAAATCCGAAAACGCGTGCTTTTATAGGGGGTAAATAGGCCGCAACTCGCGACGTATCAAACAGTTCATACATGTCTTTTTCGTTACTTCTTCACATCAGCCGGGATATCTTTTTAAATACCGGTGTGATTTAAATGAATTTGGTATCAATTTAAAGATAAAAGTTTAATCTTTAAAATGGTGCCACTTTTTTTGTTACTAACAAATTCGTTAGTACACAAGTTCGCGTGGAAACAACTTCATGTAAGTGATTCCATAGTTTTGCTCGCGAGTGTAGTTACGGTCAAAGGTAGTGGAACTTGGCCTAAGTCCTTAACAAAAGTTGCAACGTCCTACACTGTTAAAAAATTTGTGTTTATGTTAGTACTAAGCCGTTAAAATCCACTGTTGACAAGCATAAATTAACGTTATTAGCATGAGCTTAAAGTTCTGGATCGCGTGCTCTTTTCAGCGAGGCAGTGTACGTTTTTGCAACAAAGCTTTAACGCTCCGATGTGTACGGAACTTGTTTGTCTTAATTTGCATAGTATTCAAAACACTGAATAACAATTACTAGGCTGGTTAGGAGATTTGAGTTTTTTCGATGGAGTCAAAAATTGATAGAGACTTACGCCCGTATTCACAAACGTTACTATGAGATCGCACAGTGCGCGTGGACGCACAGGGCGATACACGAACCAATCACGAAGCTCTATTCAACGCTGTGCGTTCGATTTGCTGCTTCACTTAAGCATGCATCGTTTGTGAATACGAGCGTTACATTCATGAGGGTGTGTCATTTAACAGCAATTAAGTACTCGTACCTTCATTAATATTGTACTACAGTGTTCCTTTTACCACAGCTTAAACTGCTAGTAATTTTAATTATGTTTTTATTTATTTTTGGGATCAGTGACTTGGACCAAAAAAATATCTACAACATCTTTTTGTATGAAAGCAGTTTCATCGTTTTCATTAGTATTCTATAAGAATAGTTAGGTATTTATAATCGACGTTTCATTTTCCTAAACTATTTTTGCGGGAAATAAAACATTGACAAACTGCAAACTGGTTGATAACATTCATATTTAACTTTTTGCTATAAAAGGATAACCTAGCTAATACTCTTAGGGCCCTCGCCCACGACGACTTTTTGTAGCGATTCTGTCGCGCGTTCGCATCGATACAGTCGCAATACGGTCGCTAGTTGTGTGCCCTCGCTCACATAAACGCGCTTCTGTCGCGATGCAAACGCAATACTGTCGCGCTTCTGTCGCGATGCAAACGCAATACTGTCGCGATGCAAACGCAATACTGTCGCGCTACTGTCGCGATGCAAACGCAATACTGTCGCGATGCAAACGCAATACTGTCGCGCTTCTGTCTCGATGCAAACGCAATACTGTCGCGCTACTGTCGCGATGCAAACGCAATACTGTCGCGCTTCTGTCGCGATGCAAACGCAATACTGTCGCGATGCAAACGCAATACTGTCGCGATGCAAACGCGATTCATTAATCCCTCCGTTCACTCCTGTAGTTCGACACGGTCGCGCGTTTGCATCGACACAGTCACGCTGTTTTTTAGCGCGTTAGTCGACGCTGCGACGTTTTCCATATATTTTTATGACGCGACGCAGCGCAACGGACTAATGGGGCCTCACCCTTAGTCGCATTTGCAACGCACTAAAGAACAACAACAACAGCGATGCTGTCGCTCGTTTACGAACGCGACAGCATTACTGCAAAAAGTCGCGCTGGGCGAGGGCCCTTATAGCTGTAACATCCCTACGTTTTCTGCAAAGCGGATCGCGGGTCTTGTTAACTTTGCTCACTGACACGGATCTGCAAGTGCAATAATCCTGGTGGTTCAACAAAAATATACCTCACTAGCGGCCGCCCGCTACTTCGTACGCGTGGAGCTCGTTTTACCCCCGTTAGATATCATGTTGATAGATGGCGTTTCACGGCTTCCCCCGCATGAATATTTACGAACGTCAAAAACAGTAGTTTGTCCAGCGCTGTAGATTTTAACCAATGACGATAGATGGCGCTTTTTAGACACGTCTTATTTATTCATTGAAATTTATGTGTCACATATCGTCATAAATATGTTAATCTGGGTTATAAAAAATAATACTGTAAAGTTTCAACAAAATCCGTTCAGTAGTTTTTGCGTGAAAGAAACATCCAGACATCCAAACTTTCGCATTTATAATATTAGTAGGATTAGTAGAATAGGACTAGAAAATTCATGCGAGCTCTGTAACTCGATATACAGGATATCCAAAAAACAATGGGTAACCCAGTAACTATTCACAGGCCTTGCCATGTTCTCTATAATATCAAATTTTGAACTTAGTAAAAATATCACGGTTTTTCGAGTTTTTTTTTATTTTTATAAAATTGTCACTTGCGATTTCTTTTTCTCGCGCCAGTTCTACAAATGAGAACATTTTTCGACCTAGAATTTGTTTGTTTCAGAAGGCATGGGCTATCAAAATAAAATATTAAAACTTAACAAACTAGTTCAAAAGTTAAAAAAATAA